CCAGGGTTTGTTCTAGCACAGTTTAAGCAGCTGTCAGAATTAACTGGAAGGAAGACACAGAATATTCATTTGCATGTGCTTGCACAGCAAGCAATCTGCTTACTATTTTTATTAACACAGAAAAAGAAAACCACAGAATTACTTTTTCAAAGTGTGTTTCAAAACTGAAAGGTGTTGAGGAGGCTTTCTTTTATATACAGTACCCTGATTAGAATAACACCAGGTGTTTCATCCCTTAAAATAAATATAAACGTAGAGCTAAAATGTTTTCTTTTCTAGAAGAGGAGACAGGGAATGTTAAACAACTGATCAACTGCATGGCTAAAAAGAAGATATTATAGAGTAGTTCTAACAATAATAACTAGTGTCAGTGAAGTGCCAGCTGTCAGCAAGGGAATGACTGCACTATGTCAGAACAGCTCCTCTGCCATTAGACGTATACCTGGACATTTCATGAAGCTATCCATGCAAGATGCCATTAGCAAACCACAGGATGTCTGAAAGACTCATAGGAATCAATAGTGTCGAGTTTCTATTCTGAATTATTCATTTAGTCTTTGCACTATGAAAAACACTTATTTCTATAACACGCTATCAATGTACTACAGCAATGCAGTTCAAAATTTTGAACGTGGACCTTGAAAACAGAAATTTTAAAAGCATTTTGTCCAGCTAGTTTTAAAAGCTTTCTTGCTCATAAGACCTTTAGCAGTGATTTTGGAGCAACCAATCCCCTGCAGAGATGCAACCCATTGCTCCCATCACCAGCATGCTCCTCTCAAGGCTCCACCAGCTGAAAGCCCAAAACGGAAGGACAGCCTTCCTAGCAGTGCAGCTGCCCATCAACCCCAGGTCCCACAATGCTGCTGGAAGATTGAGTACAAGGTTCTCTACAACCTCTTCCATTAGAAGGAAAAAATCCTTAGGGGAAAAATATGTAGGTGCTTATTATGTATTACGTATTTCTGTTATCTGTTAGAGCCTTGATCTTGCTAGTCTCTGGTTACCTTCTCTTACACTGTGTTTTCAGCACATAATAATTGGTGATAATAAATTTCAAATATTTCAACATGTCCTGTTTAATCTATCCAGATTAAGTAGTAGTACTGCAAAAATATTTTTAATTGGTTTGAAAAACCGATTGAATGAGAAAGAAAGATTTGTCTGCTTTTACATTTTTACATTTCAGGGTCTGGGATTCAAAGGAATTAAAGGAAGAATTCTCAGGCTTTACTGGAAATTGCATTTCATTTCAGATTCTTTAATAATGCTACCCCAGAAAGAAGACCTTTCTTTTCCCAAAGGAAAGCTGGTTTTGTTAGGTCAGGTGCTATTTACTGCTACAGAAAGTCCTAAGACCCCACTGCCACTCTATCCTGGAATGTGAATTTCCTTCTGGAAGCTCCTACCACACAGCAGGCAAGACTGATATCTCACCTCTCCAGTTTGTATGTCAACAAGAAGTAAAAGGCAGCATATAAGTCAGAGCCCAGCCATCAGACGTTAAACAGTAGCCTAAATGAATGCAATGCTCTTACCATCCCTAGGAAAATCATTATAAATTCTAAAGAAAAAGATCAGCATTAAAAAAGCTGCATGGCCAGTCCATTTGATCTTGAATTGTGAAATACAAAAAATGGTTGAATGTGGTAAATAACATGTTACGTACCTGCCTGTAAAAATGTGCATCTCACGACTGCTTACAGGAAATATTTCTGCAATGACTATAGCTCTAGTTTAGCAAAGTACACAAACACATGCTTAACTAGTCAGCTTAACTAGTCAGAACTGACAAGGGATTAATCTCATTCACTGAAGTTTAGTATGCTCTTGCGTGCTTTGAAACCAACTCAAAATGGGCAGCAGAGGGCAGGAGGGGAAATGTTTCTCAGCCATGTTTTTTGCGGTTACTCAGCAAGTCTCTTAAATGTAGAAGATAACTAGGAGACAATAGGCTTCCGTGCTATCTCCTACTAAACGATGGTAACCCATAAAAGCATCATGATGTTGACCTAGAAAAAACACTTTTGACTGTACTACTGTTAAGGAATAGAAGTCCAGTACTTTCCCCAGGACATTAGATTACAAGAGAATATGAGATGTATAAAAATGGGCAAGAAAATAGCAAGTGAGGAAAAAGTAAAAAGAGGCAAGAGAAGGAAAGAAAAAAATGAAGAAAAAAAACCCAAACAAACAGAAGAGAGGAAAAGAAGTGGGGGGAGAGAAAGGAAGGAGCATATACAAGAAGGAAAAATATTAAAAGAAACATATAATCTCTCCCCATCCCAATAAGAATGGTGCACATTCTGCTGCTCTCCATAGCCTGTCATAATTTCTGTATTCATTTCTTTCTGAACCATAGCACAGTGACAGATAAGACACTTTACATCTTTTTTCAGGCTGTGAATGGGTAGCACTTCCAGAACACAACTTATCTTTTTCTAAGGCAGATATTTAAGACATCTAGAAGGATCTGTCCTCTCTGCTAACTATAAAAAAATTCTAGACATCTAGCTTGTATAAATCTAGTGAGATGCATGAAATAAGCTGATTCTCACCTTTTCGTTTTTCTCCTCTTCAACAAGCTACTGGCAATCAGTGAGCATGTATGAGTTGCATGTATTTTGTATTAAATCCAAGGTGATAAAGCTGAAAACTGTGACTGAAATTCACTTAATGCATAGAGCAAGACCACTCTAGTGATTCTGTTAGAAATACACTTTTTTATGGCACTACTTTAGCTGTATTTCCATTAGGTGGAATTTCATAAATATGCCCTTGCATCTTAACAGAAAGCATCTGAGGGATTAATTTAACTTCCATGCAAGTCACAGTTCTAGAAATAGCACTATAAGAACAGAAAATTAACAGTGTATGACCAACTGCTTTCCAACTGAGTATCTCCAAAAGATAAACTTGAGCTGATATAAATTGTATCTGTACAGGTTTAGAATTCAACTAAAGAACTGTTTAGTAAGCTATAGAAGATGAAAAATCACTGCCAGCAATAGATAAATATTTCTCTCTACAATCATTCACCCCAAGAACTATCTGACAACAAAGGCCTGAGGCCACTGACCTTGGCATGCAAGTCAAAAGGATTTTGTGTGAACTCTTCACTGCAATTTCCTTACACGTTTAGATCCTAAATCCTTTCTAAGCTACTCCCAAGATGTGGAAAGAATGACTCTGCACGTTTTAAAACTGTGTAGAGTAATTATGTACGACACTTCCAGTACACTGCTCTTCTGTAGAAACAGGCATCGTTTTAAACTTGTATCAAAAGATTATTTTAAATGTTTCAGACAGGATTTTCCATTTTTTGCAGAAATTAAGCCTGCATCCTTAAAATGCATCTTTAGTATAGAAGAAGATCAGTAGCCCCTAGAAACACAGCAACAATTATCTTCAATTATAAAGAGAAATGCACAATGGTTAATCTGGAGATTGCATTTTGCTGCCAGAGTACTGGCAAACTTCCTGTGTGATTTTTATTTTTTTTTCCTTTAAATCTAATTTCTCTGAAGTCATGGACAACAGATATATTTCTTACATGTAAATCTGAAGTAAAATACAGAGCACTCTCAGAAGGGAACAGAGCAAGTCTGCAGCCTCCTTGTCTTCTCTCATTAGCAAGCAGAGGACTGCTGCAAGAGCACATGACCTCTTAGGTATACCAGGACCAGGGTGTGATGTCTAAAATAGGGTGCTGGGAGCTGCTGTTTCTATGCAGCATGATTCCTTTGGGCCTAGGAAACTCATAAAGGGAAACATATCTGCACTGTTTAGTATGGTTCTGTAGCTACAGACACCCTGGTCACAGAAAGACTGTGCAGAGCTGCTAATGTCAGGACTGCTTCTGATGGCTCAGTCATGGTGGGGAGGACTGAAACAGCATTCCAGAAGACAGGTTTCTCTCTCACTAAGAAAAATAGTGATCAACTTCACATCTGGGCCATGCTAGCTTCCTAAGTCATGCTGCTTCCAAGAAGTACTGCGGTTTCAAATGTTCAAAAGATGCAAAACTAGAATGCTGCATCCTCTAAAGTTCTGAGGAGATTAAAAATAAGTTTATTTTAAATATCCCTGAATAAATCCTGTAATGCTACTACATCCAATATTTCTCAAATACATACAAGCACAGCTACAAGAAGAGATAATTAAGTCACTTTCTTAAAATGTTATTTTTCTCTAAATATGAACACAAGTAAATTCTTCCAACAGTATCTGAACACTGTACTCATTAATTAAATCTCAACTCTGACAGCTTACAGATACGTTTTTATTTAATGTGACTTCTACATGAATTCAACTTCTGAAAAGAAATCAAATGTTCAGTAATTATGCAATCTGTTTCTCCAGAGAAATGTCTGGGCTAGACAGTTGGCACTGAAAAAGCAGATTAAATTTAGAACTGAAGGGCCATGCAGCAAAGGTGAACTCACAGCCTTTGGTTCTCTGTTGACTATGATCTGCACATATTGTTTAAATGATGCGCTCTGCCTCTGAGGCCAAATTCAGTGCTATTCAAAAGAAAAGTGACTTTCATCCCTAGAAAGTCTCTGTTTCTAATGCATGCAGATATCACTAGATGACATAGTTATCCTTTGCAATGTCACTTCCCTGTCCTCAACACTGTACTTTATTTTATTTTTATTTTTTGAAATTTGTCCTATCAGTGTTGCTACAGAGATGGCTGTCTAAAGCTAGAAAAAAAATGAAATAAAAATCAAACTTCGCAGAAAGAAAGAGTAACCCTTAAAGTTTGTCTTATTTTAATTTCAAGTGCAAGTATTCAAAAACCTTAGATTATCAGACAGCAGTATTTTAGCACCTTCATGACTGCTCAAATACATGTCCATAAACTTTGTGATTTAAGATCTTCTTAGCTTAACTACCTTACTACCACACAATGAAACTGCATTCTAAAATCAAACATTTAGTACATGATCATTGCTGTAATATTCAGTCATCAAGACATCACAGAAAAATCAACTGACCTTCATGAGATGTTGATTTATCCATTTTGTGAAGGTCTTCTTTTGTACTTTATCCCGTTCATCTGGAGGTAAAAAGGAAAAAGAAAAAGGTTTTCAAGCTCTACAAATTATGCAGGTTTTATTTAAGGACAGCTTTAAAAAATTAACATTTTAATAATGTTTTAAAACAACATAGCCTGTAGAAGCTCTGAAATATCTGATTAAAATAATAGCATAGAAATGTTTTGCAGTACATTGCAATATGTCAGACAAAGGTTTCTTCAGCAGAGGATCTAAGTTCTTCCAAGGCTATAGCACCACTGTTAGAATAGGAGCACTGCTAATGGAAATGTAACTTCCCAGGAAAAGGTGACTGTGCATAAAATGTATTTAAAGACCAAAGCAAACTTTTAAGAAGCATAAATACTACTGCTAACCTCTGAAATCTGATAAATCATTACAAATAAGAAGAATTCCCTTCCTTTATGAAAGCCAGCTTTTTGGTAACTGTTTTTTTTTTTTTTTTACTGGAATATCACACCTCTTCCAATACACTTCAGTCATAGAAAGCACCCTCTTTCTTTTCAACCTCCATGGTACACAGGGGTGTCGGTTAACCCACCGAGGAGACCCAGCTACTGCTACACAGGCCGCTGCTGGTAGCTACTGCTCCTTTATATGGCAGCATCAACAGCTGCCTGTCAGACACTGAGTGGAAATATCAAAAGCAATAGGGTAAGGAAGCATCCTGTTATGGGTGGGATGTATGTACATGTATTCTTCAGAGCCATGCCAAAGAAACAGCAATGCCACCCCAGCTGAAGTTCTACGTCCACAGAGCTATGCATGGTCACTGGGTGGTACAAGTGCCCCACAGCCCTCAGGAGCTGCAGGGCAGGACCCAAACCATCTGCACAAGCCTATAATAGCCAGATCCCTTAAGAGCTTGTACAACAGAACTGCAGCAGCTTCATTGACTTGTGCTATTTGTAGTGTGGCTGAGAAGCTCAGGTAGCAAAACAAGACCGTTTCTTCAGCTACTTCAATCACGAGAGCATTGAGTCACCTCTTACATTTTACACTAAAAACACTTTTGACAGACTGGTCAAAGGTAACAGAAGTAAAATAAACAAATGAAAAAAACCGTCATGGGAGGTCCACACCCATGGACATTTGAGTCACAGTGTGATACTGAGGTGTTTCAAAATGGCCTGAAATCACACAAGATTGCACCCCAGGCCACACAGTGCCCTGTATATCTTTCCTCACAGCTATGAGAAATGAGTATTCAGGAACAAAAGCAAAAACAAGACAAGCAAAAGCTTGCAAAGCCTTTGTGTAGTTTTCCAGTATGTGACTCACACACACACACACACACACACACACACACACACATTTTTCCATTACAGATTATTTGAAGAAGGGTGGGAGGGGAGAAGGAAGAGGTTGATCATTTTAAAACAACTATAATCTTTGTGCTCACTGTGGCAATCAGTTCTGCAGTTAATACATGTACCATACAGAAACTCTGCACAAAATAGAGACAGTTCCCAGAACACCTTTTTCCACCTCACTCCAGATCTGTAAGTTTCTGACACACTCTTTTCCCTCTACAGAGAACTTAGTCTAGGTGAAGGCTTGAAAAGAGAATTAAGAAATTAACTTTTGAGCAAAGCAAGAATTACTTGAGAGAAAAATCTGATATATTAAAAAAAAATAAAATTCTGTTTTTGGTGCCCTTATGAAGAAAGGTTGAGGAAGTTTTCTTGTTCAGCTGGGAGAAGAGAACACCCCAGGGAAACCACATTGTGGCCTTCCAGTACTTAGAAATATGTTATGAGTAGGAAGAAGACTGAATTTAAGCAGGTGAGCAGATAGAGATAGGACAAGGGAGAGAGGCTTTAAAAGGAAAGAGGGCAAATTTAGGTCAGATATTAGAAAGAAATTCTTTACTCAGAGGGTGGTGAGGCACAGGTTGCCCAGAGAGACCGTGGATGCCCCATTCCCAGAGGTGTTCAAAGCTAGGTGGGAAGGGAGCTGGGCAGCCTGATCTGGCGGGTGGCAATCTTGCCTACAGCAGGCAGTTGGAACAGGATAATCTTTAAGGCTCCTTTCAACCTAAGCCATTCTATCAATACATTTTCCTATAGCCTTCATCCAGCAAGGCAGCATTTCCAACAAGAGTAATTCATCCAAGTAATGTAGAAGCCCTAGCTTGGTTAATGAAACAACAATCTCAATCAATCTTGGTTAATGAACAAAATCTCAAAAACGAAAGAAAACAATAACTAACTTTACTTACAACTGTTCCATTGTGGGTAGCTATTTTAAAAGCAACACAATTTTTCCAAATTGCAGAAAAGCCAGCCCACAAGTATACAATGTGTCTTCTTTGCTAAAGCAACCTCAGCTAGTTTTGACTAACTACTACCACAGTTTACATTTTGTTACTGGGACAACAGTGGAAAAAAAAAATCCCTTTCCATGTAACTTGTTAGAACATGTAGTGACAATTAATTTCAGCCCTACATCTAATGAAAAGTAAGTAAAAAATGATGCTTATTCCCCATATTCCTTACATATGTATACATTACACTTTTCTGCACTTGTAGAAAAACCTGTACAGCTCTAACAAACAAACGTGTAAAAAGGAAGAAAAATAAAAGTGCCATGTTGAAAAAAGCACTAGAATAAAAGAGCACTTGTGATTTTTAATCAAAAAACAAACTCTTTCAGCTAAGAAAATGCACATTAGGATGAAAGTGTGGTATAACATTATTTCATGCAGCTGACCTCTGAGCAGAGCGCACCGAAGCCAAAACACCAAATGAAGTAACTAGCAGATAGGCAGCCTACTGCCAAAGTAATTCAAAACTAAGAAACGAAACCCCTTCAAAGGCTCTGGTGAAAAGTTTTTCCCCAGAGAGCTCTAATGCCCTTTCATTACAAAGCAAACCTGCTGCTGGAAGCTACAAAGTTCACTGCAAAGCTCACTACTGACCCATGCAGCACATCAGCTCCACCAGCTCCCCATTCCATCGCTTTTTATCCTTAGTGAACGACTGCATTCTTCACTTCAAAACTTCAGAGTTCCCTTGCAGGGAGAGGTAAGCCGAGCAACGACTCAGGTTTCTAGCTGACAGAAAGTAGTAACTCCCCTTTAAAAAAAAAAAAAAAACCTACAAGCAAACAACCCATTTGCTGTTACAGCAAGGAAAAGCTGTGAAAACTATGGATTTAACTCAACTGTAAGCACTAAATTCAGCATGCGTGTTTGTTTGATCTGAACTTTAAGTGTTTTAATGCATCTCTGAGTACAAATGATGAGTTTTTCCAACCAGAAAGTTTGTTTTCTTGCCTTTGTCAACTAAGTGGCAAAGTAAGAACGTCATGGTGAAACATGCAGAGAAAGTGCTGCCTCAGGCAAAGCTGAATGTAGGTGAGGTGGCTACATCTCACATCCCCTGGTCCATACACCGTGCTTCCGAGTTGTCACTGGCTAAGTAATCAACTTGAGTGTTTCTGCTATACCTATTACTGCAGATGTGTCACAATAACGTCCACAACAAATATCAGCCATACCAAACTAAAAGACTTTTTTTTTTTTTCTTTTTTTTTTTCCACACTTTGGAAAGTACCCCAGTAAAATGCCTGACATCTTAATAGACTGATGCCTACTTTATGAATCTACACTACAGCAGAGTTCCAGATTAGAACATTTGTAGGTAAAAGGTGATTGCAGCATCTACGGTATCTCACTGCATGTTCTTGGACAACGCCCTTGGAAATAACAGGTTAACTGTCAGGTTGCCATCTGTGGAGCCAGGAGTTGGTGACCCTCATAGGTCCCTTTCCACTCCGGAAGTTCTACCACTTCGACCAATCTAAATGGTAAATTTAGGGATCAGGTGCTTCCAACACTGATGTTTGCTTCCACAAATCCTTCTTGATTACAAGGCAGACAGTTTTCTTACCAGAATTACACCAAAGTCAACACTAGGCATTGATGCCTAACGCAATGCCTTCCTGGAGAGAAGCAGCCAAGCATTCCTCTGAGGGCAACTCAAAATCAACATTCAGTGTCCTGTTTTCCAGATGCACTGCAAATTTCTGTACTTTTCTCTTCATTCTAATGGTGAAAATACCAAAGTTGGGAGTTTTTAGTAACAAGATTTGGAAAAAAAAAATCTTCTGCACTGCACTGATAAATTAAGGTTGTTTCTCTGCTGATATTTTGTTTGCTAACATGAGTTGCCAGATAGGCAACAAGTTTTTCTACATTCATCCATGTACTTTCAAAAGCCCTAATGCAAGTTATTGTTTACTTGTGCATTAACACACCATTTTTTCTGCACAAATTTCTTCCATTTACCATACTTGTTTATATTTAAACTCAAAAAAATATTTTGAAAGAACATTATTAACGTTGCAAAATAAAAAAAAAAAAATCACTCAAAAGTGGAGTTAAAATTGGAATTAAGATTGGCTGAGAAACTTTAATAAAACCCTCTTAGGAATATGTACCATAATATTTAATTAAACGACCACTTTCACTAGGCTGCTGTCTAGGGCATACTACTCATTTACAGAGTAATTATTTAATAGTGTATTTCACTTGCTCTTGCATTCTGAGCACCAAACCTATTCACTGTTCACTCTTCAAACTTAGAAGAAAAGTATTCACTTAATTGTAGGGTTGCCTCTGGTATTCTTAAGTGTAATGTCTGAGCACATAGTATAGAATAGTTCCTCAGAAATTCCTAGGAAAGGAGAAAGGTATTATTTCCATTTCATAGAGAGAGGAAGAACTGAAAAACTTACTAAAAACCAGGTACTGAGGCACTGAAAATCCAAGTTGTCAGAGAAATTGTATGTTCAGAGGTCAGTTCTTGTAAGTTCTGTTGCTCAGCGCTTTCACAAACTAGACTCTAGTATCTCAAATGTCACACTCAAAAAATAGAGCATAATTAATTAATCCTCTCCTGGGAAACCACCTGTTTTATGACACCCAGAATCATATAGCTACAGAAGACATAAGTGCTGAAATGCTTTACCTAGGAGGCTTTCCCCTCCACTCCTGCAA